CGAGCACACCGTCTGCTCTAAAAAAGCTTTTTACAGACTACGAGAAGGAGCACATTTGAAAGTACCAAACATAAACTGAGTTCTCACTTTTGCTACACTTTTAAGCGCAAATAGTAGCAGAAGAAAAAGTTCAAGTCGAAAAAAATTTTGAGTTTAGAAAGTTTACATTTTTTTCGACTTTCATCTAATTGGCTTAGTTTTCTTGATTAAAGCTCTGAAATTATAGTTTAGTTATGATTTTGTAGAGAATTTCGCAGCGCATCTTTTAAAAAAAACATCGAGTCTCGGAAACAAATCGAAAGCAAGTTATAAGCAAAATACTAAGAGAGACATTCTTTATGGGTCACCCATTAGAGCCACACTGTATCTTTTTTCACGAACAGAGTGATTTAAAGAAAAAACTTTCACACAAAATAACTATCATTGCAATTGGTGTCGTTATCCAGAGATAAACCATAGATTGAATTAATAAGAATTTTTGTACCTTTTAAATAGTGCTTGATTCCATGATTTCATATTGTTGTTTTTAACTAAAAATATTCTATGCATAAACTGCATCCATTTTGTATAAATTTGATTATTATTCGAAAGTAGAAAAAAGTCTTTATAAATTTTTTGAAATAGATGATCAATCACCGGTTGTAAACGTAATTTATTTTGTAATAATCGTTCATTAATATCATCGGGTTTTAAACGATAAACATCTTGTACAAGTGAATCTGGACATAAATGATACAATGAACTAGCACTAAAAGGATTCTGTTGTTGTGATTGTTGTTTATGTTGTAATGAACAATGATGGTAATGAAGTGGACGTTTTTTTACTCGAATCGAACAATTTGTTGTTGTTGAATTAATTAAACGATTTCGTAAAATAGGAATTGGATAAGAATTTGATGATCCTAGAAAAGTGATATAAAAATAAATGATAATTATGCTACAGTTATTAACTAAATCTTACCGTGTAATTCTTGATTGCACGAGCATGTTGTGCATGTATTGGTCTGATTTAAATAGAGTTCAATATCATTTGGCTTTATTCTCGATTCTAGTTGATAAGCGTTTATATACCGTACAATTTTTAATCGTAATTGATCGATTGTATCAATATCTAATACGGGCACGTTGATTCTTGATGTAACCAAATCATCATAGTCAACTTGAAGTTGTAATGAGCGATATTGAATATCAATTGGAAGTAAAGTATTGTAAGATAATGAACGCATTGAACGAGATAATAGTTGATCACAGGGTGAGGAATCTAAATAGAAAATAAATTTCGTATAGTTAATAGTTATGTTAATAGTCATTATAGTTTGACATCAAATACGACAATAAACGTTTACTTACCTAAATAATCAATTAATATTCGAATAAAATCATCAAATATGTGAAAATAGTCATGAAGTTCGGTACACGTAGAATGAATGAGAGTAGAAAAAAAATAAGTTAATGATAAATGACGAATACAATTATCGGTATTTATCGATGATGATAATGATGTATTTTTTAAGAAAAAGGATTCTAATGGATGATGATCATAACGAATAACATATAAATAACATTGAATAAAATCTATATATAAAGAATTATTAAGTAAGACTTGATAAATGAATGCCGATGAAAATGTATCCGATTTTAATAGTGAATAGAATATACGCAAAGATTCAATACGATTTGGATGATGTAAATTCACAACAGTTTCATATCTATCTATATTTGTTGGTATCAATATTTGTTTTAAATGATCTTGATCAAGTACTATTGTTGTTAGAAATGGTATTGTCGATGGGGGTGATGGTGTTGGTGTTGGTATCGTTTGTTGATGATATTGACACAACAGCGTCTTATTACTGCTTGTTCGAGTCCAATTATCTTGACCACCTCTTGAAATCGTATCAGCGTTACCAATTTGTTCATATACCTGATAGTAGGGTACAGTTGTTAAATCGGTCGAGGTTTCAGTTGTTGAAGCTGACGTAGTTGTTGACCATAATTGAGATTTTTTTTGTTGTTCAGTTTGACCATGTTGACGTTGTCTCAGTTTGAGAAAGAGGCATATGACAATGATAAGAAGGAGAATGGTGATAAGACAAGATATACCGATTAAAGATAAAACTGTCGCTAATGTAGATGTTTTCGATCGTGGAACATATGACAAATAACCAATTAAATGTTCTCGATAACCTATACGAAGATGAATCGGTGCAAGAGTTGAACCATTGTACGAACAAGAATCACTAGTAGAATTTAACAAATTTGATGTTTTTCGATCATTATTAACATCTCTAAAATTTAGAAAACATATTTACATGATACATATGATAATATCAAATCAATATCTTACCGTTTTGTTTGTACAACCAATGTTGTTGTTGTAGGCAGTTTCGATGGTGGTTGACAAGTGATACCATGTGATGTAAATTTGTGTAGTTGACATTCTGTACAAGCAATTAAAACTTCAATATCATCTATAGAAGCAGCATCAGTTAAATTTTCCACTTGCACTTTTAATTCTTCACCTGTATACTGTAAAACAGGTGGATGTGATGAAATATTTAGTTGAACATCAGGTAAATAAGTAAAGGAAATTATATGACTATACACAACTGTTGAATCAAAATAAATATTAACATCAACTTCATACGACGATGATTGAAACCAATATTGATTTGAAATCGAATTGTTGAAAACTAAGGTCGAAATTGGTAATGAGAGTGTGCGAAAACGAAATGATTCAATATTAGTATTTGAATCAACGATAATATCACTCGAAGGAATCTAAAGAAACATTAATGTGTATGTTATATGAGTATAATCTGACTTCGCATCTAACATACCTTCAACTTTGCCGACCAATTTAGTATCCGTAATTCGACAATGATCGATTGAGCAGACGAAAAAAACATACCACGAACAGTAATAAGCCGACCACCACTAGAAATCAAATCAGCATTACCACAGCAAAGGAAAAAATGTTAACTGAAACTGACCTTGTAAAACTAACAGTTGGATCAATGTCAATGATCTGTGGATCTGGTGTAATTTTGATTGCATCGTATTTGACAATTGTTGTAGTACTATTATCAAATTTAATTTGTATTGAATATGTTTGATTTGGTTTGAGTTGAGGTGTTAGACATGTTAATAAATGTTCATTTTTCTCTTGTATTGGACACAGTTTATCACCGTTGATATATAAATCTTGACTGGAACCAATATTCAAATAACTACCATAGACATGCAACAATACACCACCTGATTGAAAACTCAACGACGGTTTAACATCAACAATTTGAGGATCATAATAGGCAATCGATTGTTTTGACACAAGAGTAATGTTCGAATTTAGTCGCAACACAACTAAACCACGACGAGAATCATTAGACGAACCACTGCGACATTGAATCACTAGTTGTGGTCCTATTAGAAAAAGGATTCACTATGCCGTAGGCAAGTTATACTGTTTGTTTGACCTTACCCGTTCCCACTATTTGACATGGTATATTTACTAGTGTTATCTCGGTGACAAATACTTGCTGTTGTTCTGGTTGATTTGACTTCAATGTAATTGTTATAAGCGATCCTCCACCAACAGGTATTTGCAATGGTTGAATATCGTCAATGAATAATGATGTACATATTTCTCGTCTGTTATTACACATTATACTTTTTGCGCAATGTCCTTGACACCATGAACAAGATGGTTGTTGATGACATTGTTGACATGTATCGTAAAGATCACAACGGTAAAGCATAAGTTGCACTGGTGGTTGAACTGCAATTCCAATAGTTCGTTGATCATGATTGACATCCGAGACATTTAATGATAAACTTAGTTCAAATATTTGTTCATTTGAAGTTAATTCTGGTAATGTTACAAATGGACAAATAATTGATGTCTCATTTACACGTCTACTTAAAGTTGTGGTTATGTTATTTAGATGGCATAAAGGTAGTCCAGTTGGTAATGAATACACTTTTAATTGAAGGTCGTAGATTTTGTTTGATTCTATGAAAATTGGAGATTGAAGTAAAGATGAAGCAAAGGAACATTGTTGGTGTTGTTGTTGTTGTTGTGGCGATGATTTAGTATCATCGGATGGGCATATTGATGAACAACGCTCAGTTGAGAAACACCATTGACAACTACTAATCTGACGACATTTTAAACACGAGTCATACTGGGAACAATTGTATAATTGAAAATTCGATACAGTGGCAATTGTTTGATTCGATGGTGACTTTATTACCGATAAACGAATTGATTCGTACCCTAAAATAAGACATTAAATTTGCAACTCATTATTTTTGTATAATTTTATTGTTTCAAAACAAAGATGAACGAGGAGTCCACTTTTTTTTGCAAATAATGATTATCGAGTATTGGTTAGACCATGTACAGAGTAATTTTACTTTAAAAGTCACAAAGTTACTTGTTTTTTAGTAAGAAATAATTTTTTGAAGGATTTTGACATGTCATCTTTAATTTCTTTTCATTTGGTTTCTAGGAGACATCAGCTGTATTTTGGCAAGTATCAAGGCAAGTATCTTGGCAGGGATCAAAAATTTAGTTGACATTTTGAAATCAAAGACGCAATGTAGATGTAAATACCTAAAAGATTTTAGTTCAGTGTGTTTCAGTGTGAGAGTTTACTGGTACTCGTCTATCTCTTCTTCAAGGCACTCCGTTAGTTTTAGATGTATATTAGTTGAAAAGTGTAAAACTTTGCGTGTATAAGACACATATAGACTTAAATTTATTATTTTGATAACAGCTCATCATCCCATCTCTATCGTAGATGGCCTGAAGACACTGTGATTTATTGGAGAAAAAAAATTTATAAATAAATTTTTTCGTGTTCACCTACCATTTTGAATTTTAATGTTCGAATTTTTTTCTCCATAAGGTGTTGGACACGATAATCTATTATGATCTAATTTAATTGCATTCGTTGATAGTTGTGAATCGAACAAACATTGATATACTTCGAGATGTTCTAATGATGGTAATTTTGACATTGTTAAATTGATCTATATAGAAAGAGGAAGTGACAGGTGAAATAAAATAAAGGTAATTAATAAAGGATAATATAGTTACCCATTGACTCTGATCGACAGATGCATTCGATGGTTGTATATTGAGAATTTGAATACATTGATGACGATCACGAATAATACCAGAACAATCGCGTTGTAATGTACATCTAAACGTAGAAATGAATAGACATTTTAAAATTAGTAAAACCTTCAACCGCATGATTCAATTTGCATAATTCTAAAAATAATTAATTCTGCATAGAAATCTCTAGTATTTCCGCTTCAAAATACTCTCTGTTTTTGAAATCTGAATGCTCATATGTCTATCAATTGGTAACCAAATTAAAGTGACAAAAAAAACTGATAGCCAAAAGTCATTTGTTTTAAAATTTGTCATTTGAAGATGGTACTTAATTGTAATCATCGAATCTTTTTTTGTGTTAAAATTTCCGTTTTCTTGTAATATTTCCATCCTTCTTTTTCAAATTAGAACAATTTGTGCTATTGTACATAATACATCTATACAGTCAAATTATTTATAATAGATTCACAGGAGACTTCCACTTTGTTTCATCTTTTCTTTTTATGGCTAATTGTCTCTTCGATAAGGAAATATACATATCCGATGTCACATATCCGTTCCCTTCTCCCTTTCTCTATCAAAAAAATAAAAAACACCTTTGCACACCATGTATTGTTTTACGCGTAGACATCGACGGTAACAGTTTAAATATTCCATTAAAGTCGTTCGTACATGAGTGAAGAAATGAGGGATTTTTCTTTTGCATAACACAACATAATTATAATTTCTAACAGAATGAACAGACATGTACAGTAGAGTCCGGTGGGAAAAACTTTTCTGTTGTCCCGAGCCCGAACATAAAAATTTTTGTCCTATCCTGTAAGCCCGAGCCCGTGAGTAAAAGATGTTGTACCACGAAAAACCGTTACGGACTTTTTTGTCCCGTTCCGTTTATCCCGTATTTTTTTGAAAAGTTTTTCTGTTGTGATAAACCGTAACTGCTACAAGAGACGCTTATAGCCCCAAACTCATTTTTGCAAAAAAATTCATTCAAAACTCATTTTGACAAAATTTAAACTTAATTTGTTTGATTCTAAAATTAAAAGGTACTACATAAAAAGATGTTTTACATTCACTCACTTACTACTTCAGAATCGAAAGGAAAGAACTGTAAACCTGGTTTTAGATATAGAACATCCTCTCAAGTTTAAATCCAGACTATTTCAGGTTAATTTTTATTTATTATAAAGTTACGGTTTTGACTTGATAGTATTACAAGAATTAAACATTTGAAGTTGCAGCATAATTACAATCAAAAGACAAAACTTACGGGACAACATTTTTCTGCAACTTGTTCCGACCCCGTGGAATTTTTTTCTTGCCCCGAGCTTATGTGCTCAAATCCGTAAATGTTTTTTTGTCCCAATTCATGGGATAGACGAGGTGGGATTCGGATTTGCCCCGCAAGAGTCTAATGTACAGACGAAATTTGACGATAGAAAACAAACTTCTCTAGAAACATAGTTTTTCAATAATTTCATGTTTCGATAGTAAAAAAGAAAAAAAAAGAAAATCGAACGTCATTTTTCACTATCAATCGTTTGGGGATTAACAGGCTCTTTTATCTTCTGCCACTGTCACAACTGTGTGCTATGATTCTTTTTGAACAACACGTGCAATAGTGGATCATAATTGGCATTAAATCTCACATTTACACACTGTGTGTGATCAAATGTTTTATTGCCAATTATAACAACAAAAAACAAAAAAACTTTTTTTTCTTAGATCCTCATTCTATTGTCACGTAAATAACCGATTATTTTGACATAAAGAATTCTATTATTCATCTCATTATAATTTGGCCAATCGTTCTTTATTCTTCAATTGCTTTCTTTTATTTTTCGTTTCCGACATGTTTTTAGTACCGGTTGATTTCTTCTTCTCATATCGTGAGAAAACTTATATCTGTAACTTTGAACTTCTATAATGATTATATTGAGGGCAACAAAACAACATGTAACAGATCATTTTTCAACAATAAAGAAAGAAAGAAACACATCAAAGTAAATATATATTTTTCAACTCTCTCTCTCTCTCTATATATATATATAAACATTCCTTACAAATCAAATGAAGATAAAAAACAATAACTAAATTTCTACATTAAGACAGCAAATAGTTTTCAAAATATTTTAGTATATTTACTAATCGAGAATATACTAAATTTGCCATTCAATCAATCTCATTGCTCAAATAAAAAATACATACATATTCCTCTAATCTTTAATAAATTTTTTCTTCCTAACAAAGAGTTTATATTTTCTTTGTTCTTATCTTCATTCATTTTGACATGAGAAAACGTTCATATATCTATATGTGAACTGTACATTCATGTCTAGAACGATCAAAATTGTTACTGATATGAATATGATTTTTCATAAAATAAAAAATATATCAGTTATTTGACATTCAAAGTATTACTATCATCTTTGTTCTTTGTTTAAAAAGAAAAAAGCAAAAAAAGAAGTGTGTTACAGATCAATGTTGATCTCTTAAATTCTTTTGTCTCTGTCAATCATATCTTATAAGCACATAGATTAAACCGTTTTTTTTTTTCAAACCTTTATACAAAGTAATCTTATCTAGAATGAACATGTCATCGTAATCATTGTTGAACACACAATAAAGACGAAGTAAAAAAAAAGAAAAAACTGTCATAACAAAATAATAGGGTAGAGAGCCGTGTTATATATCTTTCATCATCAATATAGTTCACTACTTACTGTTCACTTTGTTGACACCATGAACAAAATGGATTTTCCGATAATAAACATTCGTCACATGAACGAGATTTTGAACAATTTTCAAATGATAAACGATAGATCTAGAAAGTAAAAAAAATGATTTTATTTTGATAATAATGATTAAACATCAAAGAGACACTTACATGTGTATTTGATACAATAAAAAATGTTGCCGTTTGTTCGTCAAATGCTATTTCAGAGTGAATGTGACTTGAGGATAAATTCTGCACGGAAAACCAGCTGATCGATGACACCCCATTCAATGTACCCTAGAAAAAAGAAACATGTGAACATAAAACAAGTTTAAAGAACTATTGGGTGTGCCAAAAGAAATTGCACCCTAGCATTTTATCTTTTTCTTCTTTCTCTTAGATCGTACACTGTTCATTTCTTCACCAAAAGAGCCCTATTCATTTCTCTACAAAATGGTATGTAAAGCCGTGTCAAGGCAGCCCCTTATCGGACTAAAAGGGTGAAACTCCTCAAAAGTTGTTGAATAGTTTAAGACGATGTGATACCAGTTTACGACTTTGTGGCCACCCAGCGGGCAGCGTTTTCGATATAACTTTGACAAGGTGGGGGAAGTTTTATGGAGCAACTCTAAAAATTTAGTTGATAACCAAAAACAAGGCCTTTTAACTTTTCAGAGTAATTTTTTTTTAGTAGGAGTAAATTATTTAAAATGAACGGAGTAATTGTTTCAAACAAGGTGAGGGGATTCGCCCACCTAATCGAAATTGCTGCAGTGGGAAGGGAAGGTGGTTAAAAAAATGACCAAAATTAAAGGTTTTCGAGTATAAACTTCTCTCTCTTTCGGAGAGTTGAGACGCTATTTTAATTGAACAAGATCAAAGTGTCCTAAAAAGTTAAAAATATTCAAATTTTTTCCGCTACATTCTTGAACTTCATTTTAAAAGTTATTGAAAAAAAATTTCGGATCGTTTCTTGACACGTTTAGATGTCCTCTTTCCAATAACGTAAGACGTTCTCATCGGTCTAATGTTGCAAAAATGTCCAGTTAATAATTAGCAGTTATAATTGAACAAAATCTGCTAGTTTTAGCAAAAGAGGTAGGAGAAAAATGAACAACACTGAGATTGCAATTTCCGTTGAGCCACCCGTTACAGTTGATTTTAGATTGAAAAAGACCAAATACAATTCACAATATCCATTTGCGGTTCTAACTTTTGACATCTTTTATTTTGTTCTCTCACTTTTACTGTACAGTTTTCTAGATCAATGCTTTGCATTCTCTTATTAAATGTTCATCATAATTAGCTTGATTCTAATTTCTTTCTCTTTTATTGTTCAATAGCTGATACTGAACATATCTATCTATCTATTTATATATATCTCGAAAATTAAATTTTTTCTTCTTCACCTGTGACACTAATCTGTTAAGAGTCCACTCTATTCTTTGTTTTCGTGAACAATAAAAGTTTTCTTTATTAGAATATGTTTTGCTTCATGGTGTTGTTGTTATTGTCGTATGGTTTCATTAACTAAGCTGTTTTCTTTTTATTATCAAAGTTAAATAAATAACACTTCTTCTTCTCATCTAAATCATTCGTAAAAATATCGACACTTAAACATATGGTACATGAATGATGATGATGAAGTACCAATGTAAAAATGTAAACGGACTACTTAAAAGTCATTAATATAAACTCGAAAGAGAGTCAATAAACAATTTTTTTTTTTCGAAAAGAAAAAGGCGTACATACATATTTATCTTCATTAACTACATCATAAAACACAAGAAAAAAAAAATTTTTTATTCAATTTTCAATCTCGATATAGACAAATTAAGACGTGTGAAGGATAAGGTCTATTAAAAATGTAGATACTAATTTTCATCAGATGGTGCTGAAATATACAAACTAAAAGATGATAGATGACAAGAAGTAAGACAAATGAGACAGTCTATAGAAGGTAATCATGCAAGAATTACATACTAATCACGGTCAATTAGACAAAATCATAGATTGTTTTACCGCCCCAAATGGAGAGACTGAACTGATCAGTGATATTAAGAAACTATTATTATCAATTTAAGAAGTTGACCATATGATCTTCTGTTAATCTGTTTTAGGACTTCATTAATGTTTATAAAATTAATTCAATATGAAAATTTTAGTTTTAACATCAAAGAGTATCCATATTTTTATAGCAACGTGTTTTTTTTTTTAGAAATCTTTGAACATATTATTTTAATCAACCGTTATTAAAACATCTACAGTCTCTTTTCTTATACGATATTCTCTATGAAATCGTTAATGGAATCACACATTGTCTCTGTCCTAGTTGCTTTACTTTTGTCTATTGTTCTTTTTTTCCTTATGGTTACAACTATCAATAGAAGAATGGTGTAGAGGATACCACTGTGCCTTCTAAATTTGTTCTCTTATTGTTCTATTATTAAAATAAACTCTTCAAATATTGTTTGATAGCTATATGTCCTAAAGGTAAATTTTTACTCTCTCGATATATATATATATATATGTACTGTACGAAGACTAATAGACAGATTTCGAAACATACATGTTGATAATAGGTCAAATGACGCGATTAAAATTCAGTAAAATGTTATTGTTTAATTTTAGAACAGAAAGAGAGAGAGAGAAAGACACTTCATAAAATACATATATACTTGCCATCTGTACTTTTTGTTTTGACAACTATTCAAGCAGTATTAACAAATATTTTCGTTTTTTTAGAAATAGTTAAAAGCGTTCTAATGTATAATATGTGTGTGTGCCCGTTAGAAATAAGGATTATCTTTTTTTCTCTTTAGTATCGCGCTAGAATAATCATAGATAGAAATCAAATATTAAAAATTGCCTGATTTGTCGTTCACCCTCTAGATATTGAAGTTGTTCATTTATTTTTTTTAATATTTTGATTTTTCAAACATAAAATATTTGATACATTTCAGAAAAATGAGTTGATCACTTCTTTTGATATAACTCAGTCGTTTTGGTTTAATTATTGTTATTTAAAGATGAGTTTTACAGACTATATATAAAATGATAATGTATTGTAATTGATCAATTGTCTGACATTAACTTATGTATGTCTATGTATATATGATGAATAAAAAGAAATGTTTTTATCTTTCCATCGTATTCGATGTCAAATAATCTCAATCAAAAACTGTCTCTAAACTATAACTCAATAATAATAATAATAATTGTTTGCCGCAATGATAATAAAATAAAAATTTGTCTGCGTGTAATATAAATTAATTTCATTTTTGTTCAACACAGCAGGAGTGTCTATAGACTTGACATTAGAATATAAAATTGTTATCAAGTCTCTCTATATATATTAGATGGTGTGCGTGACGTCAATATAGAGAAAAAGAAAAAACACAAAAAAAAAAAAATTGAAACGATTAAATTTTGATAGCGGTATATGCAATGAAAATCAAAGACGAATGAATAAGAAAGAATTTCGCTCAATGTTTCGCAATTCAAAAGAAAAAAGTGTTTTGTTTGCTCACGTTGACCATTCGATGAAAGGTAGAAAACAAATATTGTTCAAGGAAAAAAAAAGATAAATAGTGTGTAGTAGATCGATTGAATCTTAATTTAACTTTTAGATCAATTTTGACTATTAATCAGTTCAAGGATATAGTCAAAACATTTGTTTTTATAAGTAAAATTTATTATAAATTTGTAATTGATGAGGAGATCATGGATATAATCAACTTAGTTCAATATCTCAGACTTTTCCTAACGATTTTTTTTCTTTCTTTACTAAAACTGTCTTAATTTATCCGGATATGGATCTCTAATTTATGTATATTTATATATTTGTCTGAAAAAAACTTTCTGTTACACTTGTTTATGTTCTCTCTCTCTCTCTCGCTCTCTTCTCTTTTTTCTAATCTAATTTTCACACTTGACCTCAACATTTTTCTCTCTTTTTCTCAATGTCAAACACGAGACCAACAAATGTTTACATACAAAACACAAAAATAGCAAACGGTTTCCAATTAGAATTTATAATCTCATTTCATTGTTGTTATTTCATTTACTCTCTCTCTCTCTCTCTCCCTCTCACTTACTAATATTTGTTTTCTTATAAACATACAAAAACTTACCACAAAAATAGTTCCATTTGATAAACCTTGTACAATTAAAGTTTGATTTCCGTCATGAATATGAAATAATTGTACAGCCGTTATATTTTGAGATAGAGGAGATGAATTTTCCCATAAAATACGACCATTTAATGCTGTACGACCACCAACAGGATATGGTAATCGGTCACTTATTGAACATAAATTATCAAGCGATGATGACCACATCTAAAAAATGTGACCATATACAAATTGTTGTTCACTAGTTTCACTTTCAGTTCGTTCTAGGATTTTATGGAAAGAACAATGAGTTGTAGAAGGGGAATAATGTATAAAATTTGCATTTTCAAGGTCGAGAAATTCATGTGTTACGTAAATCCGTGACTTTTACTTGGTTTTAGTACAAAAATGAATTTGCATACTTTCTATCTAATAATTCTGTGAAGTACTAGGAAGACAATAAAAAGTATTTTATTCATTACTACGTAGAAGAGAAGAAGAAAAAAAAAGAGTCTATAATCCTATTTTAAATTATATAACTACTTTAAAATATGAACAATTCATATAGTCACATAAGAAATAAAATTCGTTGTATCCTGCAGTTTTAAATCATCTCCAGAGTATTTATAATGAATATACACGTTTAATAAAATTTTAACTAACAAGGGAAACACTGTATACTCGATCATAGAATCATTTTCAGTGTTCTAACTGATTTGAAAAAAAACAAAAACACTTACTTCATCTTTTCTGCATAATTCATCTTGTTTAATAAATCCCAATCCTCTATTCAATCTTCCATCAGCATAACATGATCGATAATTATCCAATATAAAATTATCAATATCTCGTACAAGAAATACACACATAGCCGAATCATCAATATTTATTGCACGTTTAAAATGACCAATAATTATAATATCATCTTGATTTGAATTTAATATGGATGAAAATAATTTACCAGCTTTCATTGTTTGAGCAAATTTTAGTAATGGATAATCTTGACCACATTGAATTGGCAATTCTGTATAAGAATGCATAATTGACATAGAATTTAAACAAAATCGAATCAATTTTGTACCTAAATAAAAATGAAAATTAAAGATTTGAAATAGGTATAAGATAGATATTCTTACCAATTTGATCATTATTAATATCTTGTCGTTGTACTGATAGTAAATAAACATATTTATCCGTTATAAAACTATGAATATATTGTACAATAAAACTTTGTTGATGTCGTTGCATAAATTTCAATGATAATTCTTCTTTATTTATAATTGATAATTCTGCTTGATTTTCACTATCTCTTGTACTCGTAACAATTTGCATAAATGATGATGATTTTTTTAATGAACGGCCACTTATTTGAGGTATTAACCAACGATATGAACCATAATTTGTGTAAGTAACAGCCGCATATAAAATATCATCTGCTATTACACTAACACTACTATTAACAGGATCATTAGCCACAACAGGAATTGTTGAATTAATCAGTAGAGATAATGTATCAAGTGATATTGCTGAACATGTACCTTAAAAATAGAGATTTATTAGAGCCAGAAGAACATAAAACCTCAAACTGTTACCTTGATATAATGTTCCACATATGAGTAAATAATTTTCTTTTGTAACAACATGAAATAATTTAAAATGATAATCTGTTAATTCTTGTTGTTCTTGTGGCAATTGACATTGTTTTGTTGGCCGACATTGTGGACTATCAAGATACGGTCCTAGTTTTAACTCATGTTCATGTTTCAAAGTTTGAGATGAATATTTGTGTAGTCTATTGACACTTCCAATATAAAGTGATTGATCATAAAAAAGTAATTTTTCTATCGTGGAAACAACACTGTTCGAAATAACATTTACACTACTTGAACATGATGAACAATTGAGAAAAATAATAATACTCAAGAATTGTAGATAAAAAATATATGGCATCATATCTAAAATATGACATAGAAAACTCAATTTTTCTATTTTTATTAATACTTTTTCCGTATCTAGAATATAGAACTAAATATCAGGAACATGACCATAACTACTCTTTTATCCACACATGCTATGAATGGTTATTCTCTCACACGTTAATCGTACAGTTATCAATCATACCGTCGTGCAGGAAGTTAATATTAGTACAGTAGTCAAAATTGACAATATCTAACCGGATAAATGTGTTCAATGATTTAAAAAAATTTTCACTTCTATTTTCGTTTTTAAATTCTAATCTGTTTTGTTCATCTGTATTCATTCAATTTTACGTTTAGATGATATTTATATTCAATTGAATATAATATCTAAGTAAAGATAGTATATGATATTCACAAATAGATGGATCATTCACTAACCGTTACATCACACAGTACGTGAATATACAAAAAACCACACACAGTTGGAAAATTATTCTAATTGAGAATAATAATATTAGCGCTAGTGTTCAATTTAAAATGGATTACGATCAATAATGTGTATCTGTATCAATTACAAAAAAATGAATATAAACAGTTATATAGAACTAATTTTCTCATAACAGGGAGAGAGAGTTCAAGAAGAAAAAAACTAATAAACATGGGGAAATTGGCTATCGAAATGCGATTATTAAGATAAATAATCGTATCATTATGGTAATAATTAATCATTTTTGATATTAGAAAGTCTAGAAAACTTCTAGTAAAAACAGTTTGAATAGGAAAAGATACAATTTGAACTATACCTTTTACTTGCCAATATCATAAAAACTATCCGTCCGATCATAGACAATCGGAGAAAAACATAGCTGTAATCAAAAAGAAGATCAGCATTCATCAAGAGTAAAAAGAAATACATTTATGTAAAAACGGATTACAATCAATAGACAATAAATATAAACAAATACAAGTCTTTCCCATATCGTGCATTATATTTTACACAAATCTACCTATAGTTCAATAAAAGTATGTACAAAACTATGAATTGATTAAAGCGTAGAAAAATGATTCTAGATCATCAGAAAAAAAAAAAACTTTCAAAAGACGATTTTACGATTTGTTCTTCGTTTCTTTAAGGAAAACGTGTCTATTTCCTATTTTCTCATAGTAAATACTAGAAAATGTACGTCAGTTAAAAAAAATTCGTCTTCTTTATTCCTAATTTCGATTCTGTGACAACATTTCTTTAAAAAAATAATCTGTTATGATAAACTAAAGGTAGACGCAGAGAAACTTTCTCATAGTAAATGCTAGAAAATGTACGTCAGTTAAAAAAGAATTCCAACTTGAGTTGAATGCATATGGTTGTATAAATTGAACATTGTACAATAGTTAATTTCCTTCGAACTCAATATTCAGTAATGGTGTCACTTACTCTCATATTTGTAGTATCAATCTTACGCACACTCTTCTCTGTTATTCGAAAAAAAACGGAACAAATATCGTTTCAAGTGTCACATACACAAAACATAACCTAACAGGGCGTTGATACAATGGATCTTATTACCACACAAAATTTCTGTTCTATTTTAGCATTCATTTAGTTTCATTGGCTATATGTTTCAACGAACTGAGATCTTAGGAATAGGAATTCTTCTTTATTCCTAATTTCAATTTTGACAATATTTTATTCTTTAAAAAAAAAAATCTGTTATGATAAACTAAAGTTAGACGTAGAGAAACGGTATGTAATCAAGTCTCGCTTGTTCAATTTAATATCATGTTTTGCACTTTTAGATGACTAATCATTATTATTCGATCATCAAATAAAGTAGGCGTACTAGAAAGATCAGCTTATCTCTCTCATTCTATCTTCTCGGTATACCAATCAGAAATGGGATGTGTTCTTGTCTTTCCAAAACCGAAACGAACGAAGTCGTTCGATTTTTTCAAAACTTTAAAGCGAAGTGTTTTCCGTTCGGTTTGAGACCGATCTCACTTCTGCTACTAACTCCAACAGCGAATTAGAAACACAAACAAAAACTTCGCACGTTAGTTGATTGACAGTACGAAGGAAAGAAATAGAATTCACCTTCCATCTAAAGAATGAAAGGCGCCTCTTCTCTTCATCTGTGGCGATTTTAGTCACCTAGTTTGAAAGGTGTAAATGTCTGAAGCAGTAGTTTTCTGTCTTTTCTTTGTAATTCTCTGTACTGAAAGTAAACGCATAGTACTATCTGAATTTGAATCTACAACGTTAGTAAAACACACATACGTACGTACCATATAAATTGTTAATACTATTAGTTTTAGAAACTTAAACCGGTTTACATCATCATTTTAGAGACAGACAAGAACAAAAAAGAGAAACTGATCACATTTTGTACATGTCAAAACCACAAACCATTTTTTCTTCTCTTTCGCTATTTCGTCCTCTCTCTCTCTCTCTCTCTCTCTCTCTCTCTCTTTCTCTAGTTCAAATAAAACAACTATACGGGCGTTAGTTCTCTCCAAACTAGTATATGTTTTTTTCTTTCTCATTCTGTACACAAGCTACTACGTACATTATTTTATTCAAAAATTAGTCGACGACCTCTCTTCCTTCTAATATTAATGTCCCTGTCTATCTTGGCTTTCTCTCTTTCTTATAAATATTTGAAGATCAAGTATATATTGTGATAGATATGAGATATCAGCAAAGAAGAAGTTTTCGTTTCAGAATATAGAGAAAAAACTACTTTTTTTATGCACAGTAGGTGTTCGACAAAATTAACTGTTAGAAAACATGCAAAGAAGAAGAAGAAAAAAATTGATTAGATAGTACATCGTATAGTATCTAAATATTTTGATATGTACAACAGCTAGAGTTTCAAACTAAATAAGTCATAAATAATGCACTATAGATATGTGAATTATTAAAATTTTTCTACGTTGATGTATGGCTAAAGAATATAAGAATTCCTATAAAGCTTTAGCCGATTGTATGGAAGGTATCTGTTCGTATTTTTTTTTTACTGCAGCCTTGGTTTACTCTTTTTCTCCTGTATCTTATCTGCTTATTTATCATTCACGAAGCGGATATGTACAGCGTTTTAAACACAACCTTGAAAAATTGACAGAAGTTACCTTTCTGTATATAGTGACAGTTGTTTTTCATTGCAACAGCTGACGTGAGTTCACTAACAAATTTTCTGCTTATTTGGAGTCAGATATGTATGTGTGCATATTAAAGACTCTTAATAGAGATTTACAAATTCTCCCATTTTTTTCTCTCCTATAACAACAGCAGATATACAATTAAGCAATTAAGAGTCGGCATTTCAACGGGTCATAAACAACACACGAAAAAAAAAGAAACTAATGACTGTTCAAAGTCGCATACACATGTCATGACAAACTATTAGAAAGAAAATATGTCCTGCAAACTTCTTATTCACACAGCACAGATGGCTTTAGGATGAAGAGATGGAAAGACATAGAAAATAATGAACTCCTTTGCTTTTAAAAGTGAAAAGAGAAAGTAACAAAAAAAAAATGAAACAAATGACTAGGTGAAATAGCGTTGTTATTGTTTTTTCTACTTTATCGAACACATTCTCTCTTCATTCTAATGATGTCCGGAAGTTGGATGAAATAGATTGATTAAGCAAACGAAGAGATAAATTTGATTTTTAAAAAACTAATGTGTTTATCACATGATATCTTGATTATGTATAGCTTGACTAATAACTTCAAGGTTATTAGAGCAGATACGTATATAAATGAACACAAGGCTTCTTTCTATGATTGATGATTTATATATCGAATTTTCTCTTGAGTATTGGAAATTAAAATTATTTCGTTCGTTCACTTTTAATTAGGATCACTTTCATACACGGAGAGAGAGAGAAGGATCTGGGAGTTATCAACTAAACTCTTTGTTCATGCAAATCGCATTATTTACGCTTCCAAATTGGATTTCCCAGTTGAACGATCAATTTATCTCTTTTTGTGATGAACCATATGGACTAGAGAAAAAACATCGTTACTTTATTTGCATATTGTCAAATGAACTATGATAGCATCAAAATCGATATCTTGATTTGCCACTTTAAGGATTTTAGCTTAATTTTGCTAAAAGTCGGCTTGACGCATTTCATTCAAGTGTATGCAAGCCGAATAATTCAATGTGCGAAAAGGTCTTGAAACAAAAACGGAGCTAAGAAGAGATCTAAGTAAATTGTCTATGTGTTTCCCATTTGTAAAGTTATATCGTGTTTTATCATTGAAAATCAAAAGCGCATTTTAATGCGATAAGAAAAGTTGTTCATTTAATTGACTGTTTGAAAGTCTTTGCAATCAAAAAAAGGGCTTTATTTTAGTTGAACAGTACACTACAGATGTCACCATATACAAACTTCACCTAAGAAAGTGATTTGTTTTTAAGTGTCGTCCGTAAAATAAAACATGTTACCATAATTATACTATATGAAAAGATTTTGTACCGAACACAAACAAAAGCTATACTCCTCTAACACTATATAATCACTACTTCGTTTATATTAGCCCCAGGCACAAAAAAAATCGTTAGAAACGCGAAAAAAGGCGTTACGATTTACGAAACTCCCGTTTTCACGCGTTTTTGACAAAACGCGTTTCATAACGCTTGCTTCATTTTTCGTTCTCACGCGTTTTGTAAGAGCGCGTTAAAGCAGGCTTTTAGATATCTTAGAAACGCGTTACTTTTGCGTTAAAAACGTAAAAAAAACGCGTTTTCAAAAGTTCCAGAACACGTTCCGTAACGCATTTTTTGATCGTAAAAAGGGAATAAAAACGCGTTATCGGATCGAGTCTGTAACTCCTGAGCCGTTCCAGAAACGTGTTTCATAACGTTTATTTGAATTTCCGTTCTCACGCGTTTTTATTCCGTCTTTAACAATTGAAAAACGCAACTAATCACTCACCGTCTTGTTTGTGGTAAGCCGAGTATATAAGCACAATCGAAAGATTGAAGAAATATCGTTGTCTTTTCGTTCTTTTTCAGTTTTAGATCACCGGTTTTGTACTTCCTTTATTATAGATTTTCAGCTATTTTTAGATACGGTATGGGTGAACAGCGGCTACGGTTGATGAACTACCACTAACAATAAAAGCCATCAGAGAATCAATTGTCAATACACATATGTTAACGGTATCTGATTATCATGAAAGTCAAGTTTACCTTTATGGTGCACTATCAAATGAGAACAAAAATAAAGGTGATTCACAACGATGGTTATTCTATTATGTTTCAGTTATGTTACTTTTCAGCAGAACTATGGTGATAAATGGATATGGGCAGTGAAACAGGAAGTACGCATGAAATCCCATTTTTGTGAATATTGACCAATTTTAACTGAGTCAAATTTTTTAACGATGGCTTGTCGCCATATTTTCAACTTCTGTATTACCCAGTATACAACAGCTTATAAAAGTATACAATAGCAGTATAAATAGTTTCATGCGTACTTCCTGTTTCACTGCCCATATTCATTTACCACCATTGTTCTGCTGAAAAGGTAACATAACTGGAACATAATAGAATAACCATCGTTGTGAATCACCTTTATTTTCGTTCTCATTTGATAGTGCACCATAAATGTAAACTTGACTTTCATGATAATCAAATACAGTTAATATATGTGTATTGACAACGGCTGTAGCTAAGCTTGGATTATTTCTACTTGCCTGTATTAGCAGGCGATCAACAAATTCGTCATTAGTTACTTAACTATTAAAGAAGAGAATCATGTTAAACAATAAAATCGTAACGAAAACACCAGAGCAGACCATTTTCGAAAAAGGAATGTAGAGGTTTCTGAATTTTGCAGGTCATATATATCACCATATATATGTAGTCGGTCATTATTATGGCTCAATAAGCAATCTTCATTACAATATGGATGTGAATTTGCATTATAGGTTTGACTATCACTTAATAAAATAAGGTTAAGGAAATTCAAAATTACAGCACCTTTTCTTTTTCCGAGTTTTTTACATGCTTGGATAGAGCTTGTCGAACTGACCAAGAATATGCGTGTTTTGTCCATTTAAAATATTTTTTGGAGTCGAAATTTGCAAGAAACGCAAAAGCTCAAAAATCCCAAAACACGCCTATTTTTCAGAAAACACGAAATGCTCTTCACCCAGATCAATTTAACGCTTTGAAACAATTTTATACCTATTCTACATGGAAAACTGAGCCTAAAAACGTTATTTTCATGTCGCTCTTTTTTAAGCTCTTACTTTCTTTACTACGTCAAAATATTGTAACCAGATGTGCAGTCACTGCGTGTTCATCATTGTCACATTCCATGATTCTTTTCTCATATGTTGTACACACTCAAACGAACAATTTTTACTGAACAATAAAGAAGAAAATGAAAAATATATGTTGAAAACATACGAAAACGCGAAAGTCGACTATTTTTAAGGTATTGATAGTATTAGATCTAGAACATGCATACAAATATCAATAAAAACAAACTATAAGTGTTAAACAATTGAATCAGATGATTGTTCATCGCCATTTTTCAACTAAATTAGTCGAAGATCATCTTCACATGAAAGTATATCTCAATAATGTGATAATTACCTCAGAACTAAAAAACAAAACAAATTCAGTCCACCCAATAGAATGATCCGATTTCAAAGATTTACAACCTCAACAAGAGCATTAGTTGATAACATCGTTTATACTTCGAATTTTTTAGTTTCAAATCTTTCTTTATCTGTATAAAATAATTTGATTATGTACATCAGGTGAGCGCAAATAAAGTGCATGGCTAGAAGGAACGTGGTTAGATACGACCGTAAGAACGTCAGTGCCCTATACTCGTATGCTAGAAAACATTATGAATAGCGAAAAATACTTTTTAAAGAAGGTATAGAGGGAATTTGTAGAACACGATTGGGCACATAATCTTATAAGATCTGATGAATTCTTACATGATCTTATGAAACCTTGTCACTTCTTGCCCGATCATACAAGATTCTATCATAAGATATTGCAAGATCGTATGAAATCTTGTTGTAAAAAATATCTTGTGAAATCTGTACAAGAATCATTTGGGAAATCTTGATAGATCTTGATCTTGATCTTTTTAGATTCT